CTCAAATATACTTTACAGATAATTCAAATCAAATCAACCACTTCAACAGGCGCACAACACAACACAAGTGCACACAGCGACTACACCACTCCCGAACAGTACAGCAATCCCAGCAGCCTCAACAAGAATCCCAGCAGCCTCAACAGTAATTACTTTAACTTATGCTGCTAAACAGAGAGCTGCTGAACAATTTTTTCATTGTTTCTGTAATAGAGACAATAAAGGTCTGTCTGTCTGTCTGAACTTAATTTTTGATGTAAGAAATACTGGTGTATTTATATAATAAAATAATACCGTGCTATCCGTCCGTCCATCTGATGATAAACTGATAAACTGAATTTTTCATTTGCTCAATTTAGTTGTCTGTCCAGTATAGTTGTTTATGTATGACAATTACACATGGTGTTGGCATAACTGTGTAGTTAATTTAGCAGCCATAACTGTGTAGTTAATTGTACATCCATTACTGTGTAGTTAATTTTACATACATAACTGTTGTTGGCTGCATTAGTTGATATTAGTTGTGCAAATTTGATTTTATTTGTTGATCCAAACGTACAGCATTTCTTTCTAATTTAGATAGAGTTTTTAAATGAATGGAGGAAATATTTTTACAGTGCATCAACAATTGAATCATGGACAGAAAATAAACACTTTTGTATTTTTTAAGGTCTATTGTTTGTAAAAATGTTGATATTGAGCTTCCTGTCAGAGACCATCATAAATTCTCAGGATATTTACTAAGTTTGCTGCCTGAGGAAGGTGAATGAAATGTTGTTAGTTAGCTCTGCTAATTAAGCTGAAATCTGTTTGAAATCAAGTTAAACTCTCTAAAAGCCATTGAATACAAAGGGCCACATATCAAACTGTCTGTCCTGCCTGCTGTGTCTCTGTGTGGAGGAGCAGGATGTCACTGGTTCTCTTCTGCGGTTATGAGAAGATTGACGTTATGAAGCCGCCCTAATGAATAAAGCTTAAAATGGCATCTTACACCTTTACACATTAAAATACACCACTAGGTTACTCTGTGTCGGCAGCAAGAGCACGTTTAATGGGACCATCACAGACTTTCTGTTACACTTGTGTAGATGATTTGAGGTCTTTATGTTTCTGCCTTATTCACAGAGACCAAATGGAAGGATGCAGTTCAGATCTACAGGATAAACCAGTTTTATCTTCCATATTGAAGGTTTGTATTCATTGCTGAAATATTTTTTCTGAAGTGTTGTGTGAATTGGCTTACATTTTATACAGCTGTACAGTAAGAAACTAATCATGTTAAAGGAAAGATATTCAAACCTGCAATTACAAATGAAACTATGAAATGGTTTGGTTCAAGTAGCAATAATTAACTGCGATGGTTTATTTTAGTCACTAGAGGAAAATGCTGTGAGGTTCCTGAAGGATGAGCTGAAGAAGATCACGAGGTACTTAGATCAGAATTACCCAGAATGCTCTGAGCCTCAACTGGAGGAGGACAATGACCTGGACAGTGATGTTCAGATGCAGAAGACCTGTGGTAGAGAAGGAGCTCTGAAGATCACACTGTACATCCTGAGGGCCATGGAACAAAATGATCTCGCTGACCTACTGCAGAAGAGTAAGAGCTGAATCTCATTCTCTGTGTGTTTGTTTGGCCTCAGAAAAAATAGTATATGGAAAAAAACATGTATTACATTTCAGTTTATCATTTAATTTAATTTGATTTAGTTTTGCTCATATTAGTAAAAAATGTGTTTTTTGAAAAGTCTGTGCATTTACCTCTCATTTCATTTCAGGGCATCTTCTGTCACAATGTCAGCACAGAATCAAAGGGACCCTGAAGCAGAAATGTAAGTGTGTATTTGAAGGGAAAGCTAAGGAAGGACAGCCAACACTTCTCAATGAGATTTACACAGAACTCTACATAACTGAAGGTGGGACTGGAGTAGTCAATGATGAACATGAAGTGAGACAGATTGAAACAGCATCCAAGAAAAGGCGAACAGAAGATACTACAGTCAAGTGCAATGATATATTTAAACCCTTATGTGG